CTGACCTTTAAATGGGTTAACTATCCTAAGGTTGATGGGTAGTAGTTATACTTTTTGCTTTTTCTTCTGAGAATACACAACTTCTCTTACTCACACTATCAATCCCTTAAATGCTAGTAGCTAATGATTTACAGTTCATTATTTCTATCCTTTCTACTTAAAAATAAAACCCACAAAACTTTGCATGTAGATTATCACATTCAGCTGCATACAAAATGCATGAACAAATTTTTAAAAGGCAGATCTAAAATCAATTAGGGAAAACAAGATAGAGATCCTTGGTATCCAGGGAGGTAACTTATTGCAATTAAACATTACATTTTTCATGTTGCTTTTGAGAAGGGAAGACAAAAAGATGCATGCATAAAGTCATACAGTTCTCATAATTCAAATAAAGGAAAGATACATGTTTGACAGGAGAACTTTCTTCTGGTTTTGTATTTTTGGAGAAATAGCTTAATGTGTCTGACTATTGCTTACAGAAGACATAGAAACATACATTTCTTCTTCCAAGCCTACAAAAGGCCATGGACATAATATTTAATTGTAACTCAATAAAGGCCTGCCCGTACACAAGAATTATCATGTTAAATCATAATCATTTATTGAGCATTTATGTCTATCTGGTACTTCAAGTACAGTATCTCACTAAGTCCTTTTGTGAAGTAGATTTGATCAAATGCATTTTATGGATAAGGAAACTGAAACTCAGAGACATTAAATATAAATCCCAGAGTCATATAGATAATGTGCCTGAGTATGGATTATCACTTGTTCTAATGAGTCCAAGTTCAGTCCTGTTCCTGTTACAGTCTGCTCTACGAGTTCTTTTTTTTTTTTTTTTTTTTTGGTACCAGAAATCAAATTCAGCACCTCACACTTGCCAGGCAGGTGCTGTTCTGCTGAGCTATATCCCCGAACCCCAGTCTGCTATAGGAATTTCAGTTAAAGAGCTTAGAGTTGTTGTTCTCAGCTGGGCGATATATGACAATGTCTCCCTGGAGAAAAATTGATAGTTACCCTTAAGTGGGGCTGTCATTATTATTATCTACTGGGTAAAGGACAGAGCTATTGCTAAAGATCTCGCATGTACACAACAACCAGAATTATGTGGTCAAAAGTGTCAGTGGTATCAGGGTTAAGAAACACTGTTCTAAAGGAATGGTTAATTACACTGCCCATAAACTATATCCTTCATCATTATATATCGCAACAAGTTTTGACAACTGGAGAAATGCAGTCAATTTAAGTTCAGTTCTCCAATTTAAGATGACAGTTTGGTGTTGAGGATTAGAGAATTTTCCATCTTGTTTCATATATCAGATGATACAGGTTGAAAAGTAAATATTTGTTATAAAACTGGAGCAGTGCATGATGTTGTATTAGTCAATGCTAGCTAAAGGCAGACGTAGAAGAGTGCAAAATGTCTGTCTGTACACTGGAGACCCAAAGGATCCAGTTGAGGCCCTAGAGCCCATGACAATGTCCTGTGCAAGTCCCCATCAGGAGACTGCAGGATCTCTGCCAGAAAGGCCCAAGGGCCAGTGCTGGAAGCTAAAGTGTCTGAGCCAGAAGGCTGAGGGATCTGCACTGGAAGCGAGGAGATGACTATGAATGCCCAAGATTGAAGCTCTCCTGAAGAAAGAAAGCAGCAAAAGCTCCTTCAAAGGAAAACTGCCAAAAATCTTCTGAAGAAAAGCAGCCACAGTGAAGCTTTTCCAAGGAAGATCAGCTGAAATCCTGCTCACCCATTCTCCTTTTATACCATTCTGACAAGCCTCTTAACATGGGTCTTCATGCCCAGAACCATGCTGAGTGTTCCCTGCTCAAATTGACAATTAGTCAATTTACCACCACAGATATCATTCGTCTAGGTCATTTCCTTTCTTCTGAGATATATGAGTGCTTATAGGCAGATCACATTTTTTTTCTAAAAAACAAAACTGAATCTATCTAAACTGTGGTATTAGTATCTACAGAAACCCCTGGAATCTGTACCATAAGGCTTGAAATCCTGAAGCACTATAAATCAGGTGTGTCCAATTGGTCTTCCTGACCATCATACCAGTGGGTTCATAGGACTGAGTTAGCTGTGTAACATATTTTGGAGAAGCTTAGATGGCTAGCCTAGTGAATAATTTTAATTTTAGCCAAGTTGATGCTCAGGTGTCCTTAAAATTTTCTTTTACTGAATCCACAACCTTTGCACTGAGATATAACCCTAGTATTTTATTTTTATTATTATTATTTTATTTTTATTTTTTGTGGTACTGGGGATTGAACTCACAACCTTGTGCTTGCCAGGCAGGCGCTTATGCCACTGAGCTATATACCCAGCCCTATTTTTTTAAATTTTCAGATAAGCTCTCACTAAATTGCTAGATTGCCCATGCTGTGTTTACACTTGTGATCCTTCTGCCTTGGCTTCCTACCATGCTGTTTCAGTTATTGTTTCTGAAAACAATTACCTAAAAGGTCAATGCTTCATTCTACTCTTCATTTTCTTATAATTATGGCTTTCCAGTTACTGCTGTCATGGTCATTTCCTTTTTATATTTAGGTCAGCAAGCATTCAACATCTATGTTGAATGTTAAAATGTGACTCTTGTTAAAGATGTTAAAAATGTGACTCTTGTTGACCAAGTGGGGAGATGACATTTTATTTATTGTATCTGCAGTATAGCTCATCATGTGTATTGCATGGTCTTATCAAAGTCTCAGAGAGCTGGCCTGTGAATTTTCAAGGTTGATCCTATCACTCAACATTCCCATGTCTTCTCCAAAGGGCTCATTTGGCAGAGGCAGTTAGATCTACTGGACTTATTCTAACTAAAAAACATGCCACTCTCCCTTGTTGAGACAGCAACATACTTTCTCGAGTGTGCTTTGCTGCCATTTCACTGACTAGGAGATAGATTTACCATTTATTAGGTATTTCAGATGCATAACTTGTGATCCACGGTGTAGCACAGTTGTAGATTCAGGCAGCACATACAGAGTTTTTTTTTTTTTTTTTTTTTTTT